ATCACCAGTGGTCCCCCCAAACATTAATTTTAGCCATGTTTTGTGGTGCTTTTTTTTGTTGTGGTGGTGGCTTTTTAGTTTTGTTTTTTGGTTTGGTTTGGTTTTTTGCTGGTGGTTTTATGTTACCCATGTTTTATCTTATATTTAAAGTAAAACAGTGGAAAAGAGGCAGCTTGGATTAGGAACACAGGCTCCTGACTTTGAAACTTGTCTCAAACTAAGCTCCTGTACTTACATCGGCGACTCCTGCATAGTGACTTTGATAATTGCCTCCTGCTGGCCGGGTGGGGCGGGGGCGGCTTCAGTGTCTGAACATCTACTGCTCATTTTCTTTAAAACTGTCAGGATGGAGCTTGCACTTTCTCGGCCATTGCTTGTCTTGCTGGGCAGGAAAAGGTGGTGTTGGGTAACTTACTTTACCTCTCTGAGGAAATCGAGTGTGTCACGAAAGCTTAAATGTTATTGCACTTCCATTGTGTACATTCTCCAGTAATGATTTTTCAACCTGTCTTTGCATGAGGATTAAACTGGATGATATAAAGCATTCAGCATCTAGTACAAGGGGTGTCTAAATGGGGGATCTCTCAATCAGATGGGGGCCCCCAAAGGTAGGGTGACGATCGGGTGGAAGCCAGTGGCGATGCAAGTGGTAAAAGGATGCATTCACCAGGAACAGAACAAAGGAGGTAGAAGTTGATTGACTCCACCACAAGGGAGCAGGGGGTGGGGGGGGTGGGGCAGGACAGCAGAGGAGAGGCTGTCTGCAGGGAGGCAGTGGGAGGGGGCTGTTTTTAAAGGGGGAAGGTGAGGAGGTATGGCGATGTAAGGCGCTCCCCATTCTTTGGTAGCTGTGCCTGGTTCTAAGTAGCCCATTGGCCAGTTAGGGCTATGCATATTTTGAGGTGGGTCTCCCATGGGCCTTTTCTACATTCCATTGCTCAAGGCTGTTTGCCCGAAAACGGGGTCCACAGTCCACACTCAAATGATTCCAAGTTTTGAGTTGCTATTATTATTTTAGAGGAGCTTGAGCTTACGTGTTCCTTGGACAGTCGGTGGCTGAGCGTCTGTTCTGTCCTTTGGGAAGAGGAGAGCAAAGTAGCTTGCTCCTTCTCTCTTCTCCTCTTCCATAACCTGGAACCATAGAGTCAGCCACCCACCACACAGTGCAGGAAAGGAATTCTGGGCCCTCTAGCACGACTGTAGTTAAGACCTTGCATCAGAGAGTAGGGGTCTCTACTATTTGGGCTGGAAAATGACAGTTACTGGTTGAACTTCACATCTCTGTCTCCACATCATCCCACTTCTCTCTCTAAATACTACCTTCCACCTGGCGTTTGACGGCCCAGTCCTGGTGGCCCCGTGCTCAGTTCCCTGCCTCGAGCCTCCAAAACTGTTTTTGGATGACTAAGTCCTCCAAGAGAGCCCAGGTTAGCATTGGATGCCAAACTTTACTTTCCAAGGAGGTGGGAAGGAGCCAGCCTCACAGCTGTACGAAGATTCTGTGATTGTGGGTAGTCGGGGGTGGGGCCGAGAGGAAGCCTTAGGTCAACACCTTCCCCCCACCAGCTGTGGGATGTCCTGCCCTAATTAACTTCTCCGGGACACGCGATCTTGTCATCGTTTTCACCTATAATACTTTTTCCACTGGCTCTTCTTCCCCCTCAGCCTTTTTTTTAAAGATTGATTGATTGATTGATTGATTTGATAGAGAGAGACACAGCGAGAGAGGGAACACAAGCAGGGGGAGTGGGAGAGGGAGAAGCAGGCTTCCCGCGGAGCGGGGAGCCCGATGCGGGGCTCGATCCCAGGACCCTGGGGTCATGACCTGAGCCGAAGGCAGACGCTTAACGACTGAGCCACCCAGGCACCCCGTGTATTTTTTTTTTTAAGCAAGGAGTTGGTTTTGCATCTTGTTAAAAATAAGAGAAAGCTTTGACAATAAAAACGTTTCTCTTCACAAAGCTGTGAGAGTTCTATTCATTCTGGGATTACTTAATTCTCATGACCTTTAACAAGGCAGCGCTTCTGCAGTTAGATGAGATCATTGATTCTAATGGGGAAAGAAGCACTGCTCATTTAACTGCATGTTTCCGAGTTGTCCTCAGTTCAAACAATTTCTCCATTACCTTTGGAATTGCCAATACATAGATTAAAACAGTAAGAAGGTAAGCAGAAATGTGAGCCAATTCAGCCTGGAAAGAGCAGAGTTTTCACTTCTTTCAGACAAGTGAACTTTTATTATTATTGACAACTTCACAGAGGTAGCCAGTAGCAGGGTAAAACACCTCATTTAGTGCTCAGGACCTAATGTGTGCTCAAAAAATGTTGGCTGCTTTCTTATCATTATTATCAACAGTCTGAATACAATGGTGAGAAAAGACAATAGTCGTACATATGTACAGTTTACAAAGCACTTTGCCATATGTGATCTCCTATGACACAGTAATTCTTTGAAAGAATTTTCTCCCCACTTCTTGGATGCTGCTCGGCGATGGCAGTTAGGATTCCAAACCAGTTTCCTTCCCTCTGGTCCAGCACACTTCACCCTGTCCAGCAGCAACCAAAGAGAAAGCAAAGGGTCGGATTCCGTTTCTGTCACAGAGCACCCCCCCTGACGGAGTCAAATTTGTGTACGTTCCCTGGCTGGTGGCTCCTGTGTGGACTACAAGTCTGAAGGCTGTGCTGTTCTGGTCTCCTTTACACAGTGATTTGTGTCTTGAAGGCAGCCACACAGCCCCCCTCATTCCCCCATCAGTGACCCCTTCCACAAACGGACCAGGCAACGCAACTCTCGGTCCTCCTCACAGGATCCTCGGTAACAAGCCTTAGAGGCTGCTCCGTGTGTGAAAGGGGATGTCTTTATCATGCCCACCTGCCTTGCTCGGTAAAGCTCGTTGGGGGAGCCTGGGCTTCAGGCCAGAAAGACTGCTGGTGTCTGATTTCAGGGTTTGAATAGTTGTGGGTTCTAGTCCAGACTGTGCCACGTATGAGCCATTTAACCTTCTGTATGTTCATCGATGGCATTGTGTCTTAGTTTCTTCATCTGTAGAATAGGGTTATTAATACTCACCTTTCAGGATTTTTGTGAGAATCAAAGGAAATACTGCGTTTACTGCTCTTAGCACAATGCCTGGCATGCGATAGGCACTCAATGAAGCATAGTTTTATAAGTATCTTAATTAACCTTCTGAGTCTTAATGTGCACATCTGCACATTGGGTCTGGGAGGGCTGCTTTAAGGATTAGATGTCAAATAAATACAAATTTCCCAGCGCACTTTCTGGCATGCAGTTGGTCCTCAGTAAACCTAATGAGTATGAGCTTCATATCTCTGTACATCCTTCCCTGGGTTCCTCTGGCCGTCTTAGTGGGTCGGTCACTGCCTCCTCTGGGCCTTCTAGTCCTTCTGAGTAGATTCGGTTCCTTGTCCATCTTCCCTACTTGACTGTGAGCTCGTGAAAGCAAGGACTGTCTGATTATGTCCTGGCTCTCCAGAGTCAGCCATAGGTCCCGATATAGAGTGGGCTTCTAGAAAATGTTCATCAGTACAACAAAGGAGTGATGTTACATACAGGATACTGGGGGAATCAGGGACTGGAGTGCTTAACTCTGTATGTGAGGAATCAGGGCAGGCCTCCCCAAAGAGGTAAATAGGGACCATTGACAGGTCTTGAATCCTAAGATAGGATTTAAGCAGACATTTTGTACTAGATTACAAAGCGTTTTGGAAACAAGCTTCCTAGCCGTTTCAGGCATTGTGTATGTTAATGGACAAGTCCATTCTTTGGCGTCTTATGGTCTCTTCTAGATTGTTGCACAAGACTATTTAGCAGTTTCTACCTTGGAAAAATGTTTTTAAAACAGAAATGCATGTACATCCTACAAAATAAAAAAGTACAACAGATATACAGTGAAAAGCAGATCTCTCTCCTATCGCTGATCCTTAGCATCTCTTTCTATCATAAGCTGCACCTGCTGTAACCAATGTCTTTCATATCCTTCAGAAACATTCTATACATATACAGGATTTTTTTTAACCCAAAGATAGTTTTTCAGATACACTGTTCTGCATTCAGATACACTATTCAGAAAAATACAAAGAGCTTCCACGTACTTTTTTATGGTTGCATAGTATATTGTGTAAAGGTAACTTCTCTAACCCCTTATTGATGGACTCCAATATTTTGCTACTGCAAACAGTGCTTCAGTGAATAACCATTTATGTACATCATTTAGTATGTACATGAGTATATCTGGAGGAGAAATTTCTAGAATTTTTCTAGAAACCTGGGAACCTCTAAGTCCCAGGGTAAAGGGTATGTTTATTAAAAATTCCATAGCTTTTTTCAAATTGTCCCTCAGTGGGTTTGTACCAACTTATGCTCACATCAACAAAGAATGAGAGTGCTTTTTTTCCTATTCTCTGTCAATGCTGTATAATTTTAACCTTTTTTTATCTTTGCCAAAGCATATGTGAAAAATAGTATTTCAAAGTTTAATTCACATTTCTCCTATTATGCATGATATCAAGCGTCTTTTCATATGATTGAGAGCCGATTGTATTTCTTAATCTGTTAACTCTGTTCATAGTTCATATAATATACCTACTAAGCTGTTGGATTTTGCTTATTATTTGTAGGAGTTATTTTTATATTAATGAAATTAACCCTTTGTGATACAAGTTGCAAACTTTCCCCCTAGATTATTTATCTTTTGAAGCAAAAGTCCAAGACTTCCTGAACCACCCCCCCAATCCCTGCCCCTCTCCCAGGCCCTCCAGACTGTGAGCCCTCAAGGGCACAGTCTGTGCCCTGAGCATCTCCATGCCCCTGTCCCCCGTGTAGGGCTTGGTGCTGCAAGAGCCCTCTTCAGGGGCTATTTGTTGAACTGAGCTGAACTGAATTCCTGTGTCCCACCCCCCCACCTGCCCTCCCCTGTGGCTTGGGAGTTCCATTTCCACCGCCAGCAGAAAAAGATGACTTTTCTCATTGCTCACCACAGCCATGCACCTGTTTGGCCTAAACTGGCACCTGCAGCCGATGGAGGGGCAGATGTATGAGATCACGGAGGATACAGCCAGCAGTTGGCCTGTGCCAACGGACGTCTCCCTGTATCCATCAGGGGGCACTGGGTTAGAGATCCCTGACAGGAAAGGCAAAGGAGCCACAGAAGGTAGGGTTGCTGTGTTGTCCGTGTCGTGAGTCCTCTGTGTCTGCCTTTGAACCGAAGAGATCTTCATTATGCACATCATGTGCCTGACTCAGCTCCATGCTCTGGCACTCCCTCCATCTCTCTGCACTCCACACCGGCTGCCCATCCACCTGTGTCTTCATCTCAGTTTCTTGTCACTGTGAGCTCGTAGCGGGGCTTGGGCAGCTCTCCTGGTGCTCAGCGGTATCCCATCTCATGCCTTGAGGGAAGCATTATGGGCTTTCACACTGCTGGGGTGTCTAGCTTTGATTGTGTGGAATCAAGATGAGCCCTTCTGGAGCAACCTCATGGGGGTGAACGGGCATCTCCAGGATGGGGGTGTGGTGAAGTGTGTAGATGGTATGTTGTAACTGAAATACCCTCGGACCATTGCGGTGTAACGGAAACACCAGTTGAGGTATTCTAGCATTTACCAACCATGTGACCTTAAGCAAGTCACTTAATTTTCCTGACCACCGGTTTCCTCATCTGCAATAACAATAATCATTAGTGTTTATACAGTTTGTTTGGTTCAAAGCTTTTTGTCAAGAGCATTTCACGTTTAATCCTCACAGAGATCCTGTGAGGTAAGTATGATTATTTATACCCATTTTAGATTCAAAAACTCAGTTACATTAATTGACTTGACCAGAGCCACATAACCAGTAAATAATGGAGCCCAGGTGTGGATGACTCCAGAGCTCTTGCTATCTCCAAAAGTGGTCCTACCTGACTCACGCAATGGTTACAAGACTGAAGGAGATATAGATGAAAAATCCCATTGTACAACAAGACACAAATATTTCTCCATCAACGATGGAAGTGGTGGTGACATTTGGAGTTTGGCATTCTTAAATGGGACATTGGTAGACCCATGTTTTGAATTTCTTAAGGTCTAACATGCCATTTACACAGATTCTTTCACTATCAGCCTAGAGTGCCAGAGACTTACAAAAATGGTAATAGGGAAGATGACTGAGCTAATGAGCCAGTCTCATTGTCATTCTGGGCAGGTGTGGGCCTCCCTCTCCTGTACCTGCTGTGCCCTGCTTTCTCTCTCTCTGGTGTTAATCTGTCAGCAAAGTGGTCATATCTGCCTCCAACCTTGACTGCTTATATCTTCTTTCCTCTCATCTCAGTTAACTTTGGGGTCTTAGCTTCTGAGCTTCCCTGTCCTTTTAAGGATTTGCCTTCCAGGAATCAGTTTGGTTAACAGGGTACCATATGCTTGGTTGAAGTAGCTACTCAGAATCTCCAAATGATCCTGAAGGCCGAAATCAACTCTTACTTTTTTTGTTTTCTAATATGGAACGCTTCATGAATTTGCATGTCATCCTTGCACAGAGGCTATGCTAATATTCTCTGTATTGTTCCAACAAAACCAATTCTTGACCTATGGTCCTTAAGGAAAGTAAGAATGGGAGCATTTCCATGGAGCCAAACCAGAACTTCTGCCTACTTTTCCTAGGGGCAATTCCAGTCTTCTCCTTTACAAATATTTTAAGACATGAAACACTGAATAACTTACACTTTCTTTGCCTTTTAATAGAATATGGAAGGAGCATGGATGGGGCCACGGGAAGAGCTCTGGGTTAGGAGTCAAGAGCCCTGAGTTCAAGTCCAGCTGCTGCCACTTGAGTTGGCCTTCAGCAAATCCCTTGAAAGACTTTCTGAGCTTCATTTTCCTTCTCACTAAAAGGAGGCTATTGAGCTAAATTATCATGCTCGCTTCGGCAGCACATATACTAAAATTGAGCTAAATTATCTCCAGGGCAAGTCCTACATATGAAATTGGTAATAGAATCATCAAACTAACCAGATGGTTCTCCAGAATCTTTTTCCATGTCAGCCCTGTCCATGGTCCTGCCTGTTGGCTTGTGATTCCCTTGTCAGTTTATAGTGTCAGATGCGATACATGAATATTATGAATGTGGACAGTCTCTAGATCAGCATGTACAAATGCAGATTTAAGATATGTTTAACCCTCAAGGCATTGGAAAAAGGTCTCATTTAGCAAAATGTATTTTCTTTCCTCCATGATCTCTATCAAACATTCTCTAAACAGGAGTTGGATCTATCTGAAATCTCCCATTCTAATGAAATTAGTTTGTGGCTTTTTTAGGTTTTGTTTTGTTTTACCCAAGGAGCAGGAGGTGCAGATAAGAGACAAAATAAAATTGCACCAGCTTATTGGTTTACTTTAATTGGAGTGTTTTTGCTTAAAGGGATTATCTGTCATTACTAATGCAAATGGAAATCCTGTTTACAAACCCCTAAAATGCAGTGCAGTGCTGGAAAGTGGTCAGCATCAAAAGCAATTACTATGACAAAAAATACATCAGTCTGGAAAAACAGAGGACAAAGCTTCCTACAGTTTATGTGAGACCACATGGTTCTTAATTTCTTTTGCCCTGGTCAAACCAATGTCTACACAGTTTATGTTTTTAATTGTAATGTTAAAAATCTACTTCCTTAGACATATCTCTAGGGCAAAAGTCTTTAACACTGATGTGAGTACATATTTCCTGTCCCTTCTGTGGCTATCAGAGAAGAGAGCTGATTCCAGAATTAAGATTAGAGCCCTGGTTTACAGAGATGGGAGAAGCAATGTAACATGATGGAAAGAAGATAAATGGGCCTTGGAGCCAGATTGTCGAGGGTTTGAATCCTGGCCCTGTTAACTCATGCTGATTACTCCATCTTCTTTGGCCTTTGTTTCTGCATTTGTAAGAACCAGAATGGTAACACCTCAACAAATGTACTTCTTTCTCCTCATCCACTCAAATCCCAAGCCATTCCATGTCAGTTATTAGAATTTCAGAAATCCAGACTAAGTAATATTTTCCCCTCAAAGACCCTGCAAATAATTGGGGCATTTTTGAATATTTTAAAAGGATATATATTCTTTAATTATACAAATGAAATTTATGATGAGCCCAGTATTTTAAATGTTCATCCTGTCAAGAGTCACATCAAACTGCAATTTACACTATATTTTCAAAGTTGCTGTTACCATTTCGGGGTGTCACGGAATGGAAACCAAATATGGCAGCTTTTTTAAGTAAAGCTACAAGAACTTATGTTATGCACTAATGGAAAAGAGGGGGGAAAGCATTGAATAAACAAGCATTTCTGATGGTTGAATTGGTAGGCTTAGGGATAGCATTTTCTTCTTTCTGCAGTGAAATCAAAATTGCCCATCAGTTTAAACCATGTAAATTGCTGCACGCCGGCTCAGCTGGGCTCTCCAAAATGGAACAGCTTATTTTGATAACCAAATAAATTTCCAGCAGTTGCTAAGGAAACTAAAGGATTCTTTGTGCAAGTTACTGCATTGAAAAGAACCAGAAAGGTGGAGGGAGGGGGAGAACGTTGGTTGATTAGGAATTCAAAACCTGTGTAGATGGATCTCAGGTCAGGAAAGTGAGGACTATGACTGGGAAGTACATGGAATTTCAGTTCTTCCAAGTTTTCCTGGTTTGGCTGAGCCATCCAATCATTTCCAGTAGTTTGTTGACTTTTATAGACGGGATTGCATATTTGTATGGCCATTGCTAGAGGAAGGCTGAATCTGTATATCTTTACAAAGAACAGGACTGTTACCAGTAAAACTTGCCTTATGAAATCTGATCCTGCTCTTGGGGGTTCCTCATTCTTAGTTAAGCTCTTGGTATTGTTTGTTATGTCTCTGGGGGCCCCCACTAATTGTGTAGCATCCTTTTTAAAAATGACTTGAGACACCAACTTTTGCCCTTTAACTCTGGGTCCTGTTTATGGGTTCCTACTTCATAAAAATTGTCAACTTTTTGTGCCCCATGGCACTCAGTGGGCCTTGGATCTACCTGGCCTAGCCTTGATGGTTAGTTAGCCTGCTGGGACTGTGAGTTAAGTTGGACTCTTGGTCTTAAAGAGGGTCAGTGCACTCTACCACCACTGAGAGTATCTTTGAAGAGTTTTAATTAACCATTTATCAATTTGATGCTTTAAGAAGCCATAATAAATGAAGAGAAACCCCAAATGGCTTTATCTCTGAATGGTTTCTTAAGTATTCTGAGCCTCAGTACATACATCTTATTAGTGTGAGAATTAACTGAACCAGTGTACGTAAAGGGGCCCAGCATATGGTCAGAGCAGTAAATGACAGCTACTACTACTTCTACCTTTATTACTATTACTACTACTGCTCTTATTGCTGTTGTTGTTGTCAACATTATGATTTTCCAGAACGTAGGTAGGGATAAAAAGAATTTTATACACAGGACTTTTCTCCCCCAACTCCCTCCTCCCTCTACCATCTCTCATTCCTCTACCACTGGTGGATCTTGCTGTGTAGTGGGAAAGTTTCTATCCTAGTGCTCACCGCTTTGTGCTCAGAATTAAGAACAAAGAGTCTTAGGTTGTAGGATCCGGAAAGAGGAAGGCAGGAAGGGGTGAGTGTGGCTTCACTCTGAACAACTGCTAGACCAGTCAGTCTCATGTCTCTTTCCCACCAGACAGAGGTGCTCCATGGGCTGTAGCTCTTTCCCCTCCGAAGCCCCCATCTCATCCCTCTGTATAGTCCAGTGTGGGGACCACTGGGGACCAGAGTAGAGGAATGATAAAGGTTAAATCCCTAGATGGGGATCCTCTTTTCCCTCAAAAATATCGCCTTTAGGCTGGGCTGTGGTCCCTTCAGGTGACCTGGCACGAAGGTCACTTTTGAACTGAAGCCCAAGTGGCCCTCACAGACTCAGCCAAGAGAGTCAAGGTCCTGGTGAGGGGTGTGCCCTAGAACAGAATTTACTATTTTTATTTGATTTTTGTGTACATACAAACGATAATTATTTTCTACCATTTGGGCCCACGTTGGTGAAATACTAGAATGCTAGAAAAGAATGTTCCCTTTTTACCACTCCCTGGGGTAAAAGCCAACTTATTTGTGCCTCTGTGGCCGGCAGACCTCTGGAGAGAGTCTCTGGGCTGGCCTCTGACCTGTGAGGCTCAGAACTTAGCTGAGGGAATAGCTGTCTCTTAAAAACCTGCTCACTAGAGGGGAAAATGAACCAGGCAGGGTGCTTCCAACAGCATGCCAAACTGTGGGGGAAGCATTCATTATTTATTCTCAGACATAGGAATTATTTGAATGCAGACAATTCTGAAATCCCATCAGCTCTGACTCCCACCTACTCACAAAGGAAATGAGTCCTTGGAATTAGCAGTCTCGGGCTATTACTATGCAGTTTCTAGGAGGAAACTCATAGTTCTGCATCCTTAGCAGAATTAGAAGCTAAAGGGTATGCTCTTTTCTACCTAGAATACAAAAGAATTGTGGTATCAGGAGCCCCAAATCAGATAAGAACGTGAAAGTAATTCTCTTCCATCCTAATGCTTTGTGAATTTGACTTCTGTCTTGAACTTTGAACCACAGTGTGGTTGTTTGTGTGTGTCTACAATTTCAAGGTAAAAGTCTGGGACACATTCCTTCCATAAAGGAATCAAATGCAAGCTCTTTCCTATGCTAATGACAGAATACTAGTGGTGCTTTTATTGAGAGCATGCATTTTAACTTTTTTTGTTGGCATATTTTTAATTAAAATAACATTTAATAGTTCGAAGCTAAAAACCTGATGTTTCTGCCTAGGAGTTTATAAAGGAATGATAACATATGGAGAAGTTTAACATTTAAATTGAATTTTATTATTTAAAACAGTAAAATATTTTATGACTACAACAATGCCCTGCCAAGCTCCATTTCAGCATCAAATGTGCTTTGTAAGGAATCTTACAAAGTTAGGGGGAAAAAGACATTTTAATTTCTTATTCCCCAAATGCTTTTAATAAAAAAGTTCCCACAAATGTGTTTTCTTTACAAATGGATTCTTGTTTTCTAAAGTGTCTCTTCGAACATCTCTAACAAAACACCAAATCTTGGAACTAGGATACCCAGGGGGTTATTCCTTATGACAAATAGGATGTAGTCTGCTGGCTTGAGTTTGGCTTGTCGATGTCCTAACGGTTTAGGTCTTCTAACATCCCTGTCACCTCCTGTCCCCTCCCAACTCCTCAGAAGGCTGATGTCTGGCAGGAAGTGGGGTTTCTAGTTTTCACATGTGAGTGTGCTTAATTACTAAATAGAGGAAGTTTGATAAGCCGCCTTCTTTCCTGATACTCCGGGTGCCCCCAGAAAGCTGTCACTCTCCTGACTGGTGACAGAAAGGGGCAAGGGACCATATTTCTGACTCTGTTCCCTGCAACCTACAGGGTCAGGGACCTGGGTTGAATTTCCAAGTATGTCATAGGCTTTGTGCCTGAACTTGAGAAATTCCCGAAACTTTACAAACCCCCCCCCATTTTAGCACAAAAACGATATTCAAAGACCTCCATCCAAGACTCAGAAGCATTTTTTTAGAAGTATTCCCTCCCTTCAGAAGTACCCCCTCTTTCATCTTCCCCAACCCTACTCCTGCTCCCAACATAAATCCCCATCTACATGTCTTAGCCTCAGAATTTGGTTTCCAATTATGCATAAACATGTAAACTTGTAAAATACCTCTTCCACTCAGATCATGCTTCCCACAGCTAGGGGAACCATTCTGAGTTGGAAATTTAATAACACCTTGTTCGCACTATCCTTCCTATTTTAGCGTACATGCTTTTACACACACACACACACACACACACACACACACACACACGTTATTCTCCTGTGACCGCAAATGATCATTTTGGGGATCAGAATATATCTTAACAAGCTGTGGAATTATGCAGTATACAGATGGCCCTTGGGGAGGACCCATACTGCTTTGGAAGAATGCATATTTTTAGCAGAACAATTTGAGCATTACTGGGGAAAAAAAAAAAAGTTCTGGATGTTCTTACTCCTCCTTGGGGAGTGCGGGCGGGGGCTGGCAGTGGAACATCGTTGAGAGAAGCGCAGGAGACACAGGATGGTCCTGCAGTTCAGGGGCTCTGACCCCACGTGTCACTTGTGGCTAACTGTGCTGTCTTTGTCTTCCCTTCCCTGTGTCTTGGTAGGAAAGCCCAGTAGTTTCTTTCCAGAGGACAGTTTTATAGACTCTGGAGAAATCGACGTGGGGAGACGGGCTTCCCAGAAGATTCCTCCTGGCACTTTCTGGAGATCTCAGGTGTTCATAGACCATCCTGTGCATCTGAAATTCAATGTGTCTCTGGGAAAGGCAGCTCTGGTTGGCATTTATGGCAGAAAAGGCCTTCCTCCTTCACATACACAGGTAATCAGAATGCCACATCCCCTGCTGACCTCCGGGGGCTCCTACCTCACACCTTAACCTGAAGTCAGGAAGCCTAATGCTTGTACCCGGAGCCTTGTGCTTGAGGGGCATTTCATGTATTTGATAGCCCATTCCTCCATTTGCCCTCTCTAAGACCCTACCTTTCTGGCGAGTAGGGGTCTATCCCTGGAGTTTTTTAAGAAGAAAGAATTTTAGGAAATATTCCAATAGCCTTTCTACTATTACCCAGTCACCTATGTTAAATGATCCAAGAAACGTAACTTAAGGAGAAAAGCAGGCACTTTAGAGTCAGACAGACTTCAGTTTGAATCCTCTCATTATCAGCTATGAAGCCTCCAGCCTGGTACTCCTCCACTCAGCAAGTTTCTAATCCCTCCAGTGGCAACACCAATATCCACTTTACAGGGCTGTTGTGAAGAATCTAGAAGAACATTTATAAGGCAGCTAGTGTAGGATCTGGCTCAGAGTACATGCTACTTCCCTCGTCTCTTACATCCCTCTGTCCTTTGGTGGTTCATGGTTACTCTGACACACGCACACCAGAAACACCGGACAACTCATCCAGGATGACTGACCTGTTACGAGTTGTGATGGCTAAAGAACAGACTTGGTAAGGTAAGGTCCTCCCAGCTCTGGGATTGGAGTAACATAAATCAGACATTCCCAGGCCACATGCAGCCTTCGTAGCCCCAATCGTTATGGAAGATTTCTAGGTGAAAGCTACATAGATGTATTTGCTGATGGTAGAATCACAGGAAAATAGAGCCTTGGCCCCTTATTCCCTTGAAGAACAGCCATCCTAATCCTGGACTTCATTTATACATGAAATAGAATAGATACGTTGGTTTTTTAGAAGATGGGTAGGTCGATAGATGGATAGATAGCTAGGAGACAGATAATTGCTCAGTTTGCTTGCTGGTAGACCAGTAGGACTTAACCACCTACCTGTTGTTAACACCGCATGACTGACTTAACTCTTGAGTCTCACACTAGCAGGCTCAGGTCAGTCAGCAGTGTACTGACACAGCATGTAATTATTGATAGAATTTTGAGCTAATCCAGTTTAGTTCCCCTAAAACTGCTCCCTGAAACTGGAACATTTAGAAAGGATCATTGATAACAGGAAGATAGATAGAAATCAAATTTTCATTTGTACTTGACTGACATTTAAGGCACATCCAATGCTCCAGTCCCAGTCCCAGTTCTTGAGCCCTGGGATTCCCACCATCCCTTGCACAGAGTTGGGGTGAAGTCATTAAATGGCCGGGTTTCTGGTCACAACATGCCCACCACTGGAAAAGCATATTCGTCTTGGTGCAGACTCAGCCAGATGAAGACTGCCCACATAGACACCAAATTAAAGAAAAATGAGACTAAAGAAAAATTCGCCAATTATGCTGCACTCACAAGGGAATCTGGAGACTATTACCATGTAAAACAGGGGTCTGGGGAGGAGTCAAAGTCGGTTGATCAACCTTCATGTGGCCTTAGACTTTGTGCCTGCTCTCAGGTTGGGTTTCTCGTGTGTTCCCCAGGAGAAGGGTGAAGAAGGAATCTAGCGTTGTGTTGTAGTGCAGACACACTGCAAATTATGCCCTCTTTGTACTTCAGTTTGACTTTGTAGAGCTGCTGGATGGAAGAAGGCTCCTGACCCAGGAGGCACGGAGCCTGGAGGGACCCCAGCGCCAATCTCGGGGAGTCGTCCCCCCATCTAGTCATGAGACCGGCTTCATCCAGTATTTGGATTCAGGAATCTGGCACCTGGCTTTTTACAATGACGGAAAGGAGTCTGAAGTGGTTTCTTTTCTCACCACTGCCATTGGTAAGGAGCCCCCAGCCCCTGGGGCCTATGGGATCTTGTCTCCTTGGGTGGAAGGACGTGGGGGATTCTGAGGTTTGGAGCCAACAAGGGAATATGTCTTGCCCACAGCTGTCGATGCCACCTGGAGTCTGGCATGAGTCCATCCTGACTGGCTTGCTGGACAGGGATGGGAGTGAGAATTAGGGACATGAGGGAAGGGAGGAATGACAGGAGGGGCTGGCAGGCCATTCTGGGCTGTTGCCCACTGCCCTTCCTGGGTTAACTGTGGACCAGCTGCTACACTGAAACCAAGGGGTAGAATTGCCAACCAGACAGGAACCCTGTCTGACCAGCCACAGGCAACATCTCTTCTTGTCATTTCTCTCTCTCACCTGCATTTGTCTTTATAGCTTCCTTGGCTCAACTCATTGATCTGTGATTTGGATTTCTGTTTTTGAGGTGTGTGTGGCTTTTTGTTAGTTTGTTTTGCCTTTGGAGCTAACAATCCCTGGCAGTTGAGAAAAGAAGATGAAGGCTCAGAGAGAGAATGAGAATGGCAGAGCAAAGGCCCAGATGAACAATGTGATCAGTCAAACTCTGTTGAGAACAGAGACATCTTGGTGTCTGACAGAGAGCGATCTCTGATGTTTGGAATCGGGCTTAACACCTTCTCTGTCCCTCGTCATGAAAGAGGGCCACAGCTCTCCGTTCAAAGTGAGCCCCTGGGCCACCCCACAAGCCTGCTGGTGTCTGGTGAGCCTGGAATTTCTCTTCTTTACCCGCACATCCCATAGAATTCGTCTCCTCCTTAGATAGCCATAGGACATAGTGGTCTCCATGGTTCAGGTCAGAGAACATTTATTCTCAGTTTATACTGGAAGCATTATGACATAGCCTGAAGACAAAATCCCCTGCAGGAAAATAAAACTTACAGAAAATAAAACTCCGCCAGCCAGAATGCTTGGACACAGGGTTTCTGCTTAATGAAAAGCTTTATGTGGTATAGGGTTCACCTCAAAACCCTGTCTCAGTCCTTGGCTGGGAGTCTCTGTGACATGGAAAACAGGAATTGAATAAAAACCTCTGAATCTGGTCCTTGGTCCCAAAAACTCCCACAAAACCCTGGCTTCTCCTTCTAAACAGCAGTCATCATGTTCAGGCCCTTCTCCTCTCATTTGCAGTTTTGCCATTAGTGTCGAGGCAGAGACTACCTATCCCATTAAATGTGGGCATGGTTTGTACCCTTCTGCTGTCCCTGCAGGCTCCGTGGTCTCCCCTCCTGGCAAAATGAGGGCAGTGGAGGCCGTCCGGCTACATCAGCTCCCAGGGAGGAGATGGCGCTTTGTACATCTGTGATTTGGAAGTGTCTGCCCTAGCTGCTGGTCTCTGAGGGCCTAGAGGCTGAGGACTTCAACATAATCTTCTCTGCCCCCCGACACCCAGCCCGGGCCCCGACGGGTGACTCAGCGGATAAGGCTGTGAGCCGGAGCATGGCACTCCGTCTGCTCAGCCCACTGCTGCAGCGGGCTGGTGAGCTGGAGGCTATGCACACAGCCCCATCCCATCACTGGAGAGCCAGTTGGGGTCCTCACCATCAGTGAGGCTGTCACTCTGTGGGGTTTGCCAGGCTCCAGACCCTGTTCCTTTTCTCTTTCTGGGCACGGTGGCTTCATTTTAGCAACAAGGATTATCGAGTCATTAGCGGTACCTGAGGTAGAGCTTCACAGTCCCACAGCCTGACTTCACTTAGGCACAGCTCACAGTCATGCTTGGTCAGAACCTAGTTCTCTTACAATCAGAATTCTTTATTTTTAATAACTGAGCATAAATGTGAAAGGATATTAATATAAACCCCCAAAGAAAGCTACTTTTAATTAGGATGTGCCTCTCAGAGAAGTAAAATGTAGGTACAGTTAGGTACCTTTGCCAACTCTTGGCTTGTCAGGGCTTGCTAACCTGTTTTGCCATAATTAAGGCGATGGTCTTGCTTTTCCCTCTGGTTCTCCTGTTCTTAGTTTGATGATGAAGTCTGCCTTCACCTCCCTTAACCCTATAGTATCTTTTAGAGCAGTTGGGCTATCCTGTGCGTCTCAGAATTTTATGAACGGCTTGGTGTCTTGTTAAAATATAGATCCTGCTTCCGTAGGTGGATTCTTAGGTTCTACACTTCTAACCAGTGCTGCTCATCTGGGGACCACATCTTGAGTAGCAGGGGTTTATGGTATCTTAGGAATGGTCTCAAACACTGTTGTGCAAAGCGTCACCCAGGAAGCCGGCTTAAAATTCAGATTCCTGGACCCTTTCCCCAGGAATTATGACCCACTAAGCCGTAGGTAGAGCCCAGATAATCCTGAGTCCGGTGGTCTGTCAGCTGAGCTGTGAGAACAAATGCCTCATGAGCACTGCTTTCTCTTCCTTCCTCCCCTAACCGCCCCACGTTAGCTCTGTGACCACAGTCAGGTCACCTCTCTGAGCCTCCTTTTTCTTATATGGAAAATGAGATAATAGTACTCTGCAATCCCCGCTGTGAAGATTAGAGCAGATCCAAAATGCCTCACACGGGCTTTAGCCCTGTAAGCACCCGGTCAATGGAAGTTGCTACTATTCTCTTCCACCTTCCTTCTCCTTCCACCTGTCTCTTGCTGCCTTTTGGACTTACCTGTCTTCCTTCAAGCTACAGTGATTGTTTAATGAATACCTTTTTTTTTCTTTAATACAAAAACAGACTGATTCTAATGTTGCTATTAATCCCTCTCTCCCCAAGGGTCCGTGGCACTGAGTCTCAGCTGTCTGTGATTGTTACCTGTGAGCTGTGAGTTGTAATTTGTCTTGGCAGGTTAATTAAAAGTTTGGGTCTTGTTTTAGTGAACTCATTATGGTCCCAATATACAACTGTAACTCTCAGGTTTGCTTAACACACAGAGTGGAATATGACCTCCCCTTTCGTTACATGTTGAAATGCAGATCTAGAATTTAAGAAGAGCTGAGATGTCAGAATCCAGAGTTTTTATGTCTGTTTGTAATTAAGTAGCAGGAGAAATAATTGCATTTAACAAATGGCTCTATTGTGTACATTTGTGCTTTTCCCTCCATTTAATGCAATCCAGCTGATGATTTTAAATTAAATGAGTTTATCTTCTGCCTTGAAAAAAATCTAAAAGCACTTTAATAACTGTATACATAAGTATATACACACAGAAACCTGATGTTGACTGAGCTCCCTCTGAACTGGATACATTTACATTTACAGACACACACACACACCACTGAAACTGAGCAAGTTTTAGAATAAAACAGGGCAGCTGCTTTCAGAAAGAACAGTTTTTCCCTCCCATGTGGAGATCCAGAATTTGAAGGTAATGTTATTTCTGGTCCTGGCTCCCCTGGGGGTGGGTAGCCTTGCTGACCCCAAGTATTGAATGACGTAGGTGGGTGTATACCAGTAGCTAAAATATAATTCAGTGGTGCAGTTTACAAAGGGCATTAAATATATTCTTTAAGCCTCTAGATAGTGAGGTGATTATTCTTATTTTTACAATCACCCCCTATTGCAGAGGAGGAAATTAAGGTTCAGGGATAGCAAGAGAAAAGCTGGGGCTTGGGTTTATATCTGACTGACTCCAAAGCTTGGGCTCTTCCTTCCTTTTTTTTTTAAAAGATTTTATTTATTTATTTGAGAGAGAGAGAATGAGAGATAGAGAGCATGAGAGGGAAGAGGGTCAGAGGGAGAAGCAGACTCCCGGCTGAGCAGGGAGCCCGACATGGGACTCGATCCCGGGACTCCAGGATCATGACCTGAGCCAAAGGCAGTCGCTTAACCAACTGAGCCACCCAGGCGCCCCCTGGGCTCTTCCTTCTTTAGCAATCTGCCTTCTTCCCAGGATCAGGTTTCTCCTTGGAGTATGACACTTCTCTTTCCCACCTATTTTTTCATTCAACACATAGAGCGTGCCTACTGTGTGTTAGGGACCACGCTTGGCTCTTTGCTGCGTGTGATTTAATCCTCACAAGAACCTTAGACACTACGTATGTTGATCTCAACTTTACAGATGAAGAAATTGAGGCTTGGAGAGTTTAACTGGCTTGCCCAAAGTCGCGTAGTTATTAGTGCGGGTGGGGCTAGGATGGCAACTTACTCTCCAAATCCTATGCTCTCCCCACTCTGCCCCACAGTAGCTTACTATTTGCTATGACATTATTAAATATTTTATTTCCATTTGTAGTATATGGAATTTAATTTCCCTTTTATTAACTTGCTTCCAATATAACTAAGCATCTTACATTAGCCCAGGAAGTTTCCTTGCAAAGTCATTAAAAAGACCATAAGAGGAAAAAAAAAAAAAACCTCACAGCATCCAAAACTTTAAAAATAAAAATATCTTCATATGCATTGCTTGCAACCCCCAGATCTGACAAGTCCATGTTGCAATGTTTTGGGTCTCCAGAGAGCATCTTATCTTTTAGTTTTGGTTGATGCCGAAGCATAAAGGGACAGATCAAGCTGACGTTGTGGCCGTGGTGAGCCAAGCTGGAAAATAACAGAGATGCCCCACAGTGGATTTAGAAACACAGAGAAAAGAAATGAGAATCATTGTTAGAAAACATAGACCCAGCCGTTTTTACGAGAAACATGCCCTGGTCTTCCTGGTCTAGGACATCAGTACGAATTAAAGAGAAGAGTCCTTTTGTTCATGCCCAGGCAGGTGGCTGCTGTAAATGGACCCATGTCCAGGGACTAGAAGCAGATTTCGTCCCTCTCTCCCCCGTTCCCTGCTTCCTTCCTTTCTCCAGCAAATAGTGCATTCCTGCCTTTTCCCCAATTGGAGATACAGAGATGGTAGGACATGGTTTCTGGCAAAAGTAGCTCGTGGTCTGATGAAGCATGGACACAGGAAGTGTCTCTAATCCAGGGGAAGGAGAAAGAAAGGTCACTTGTGGAGTCACTGGTCAAAGTGCCACGGGGGTTGGAGGAAGGCAAGGGCGTGTCCAGCTAGACGGGTCAGGGAGGCGCTCTGGATGAA